CCTTTCAGGATTCAAACTCACTGAACTCCCAGAGGGACCAACTGATGCTGTTCTTTCAGGCTGGCACCCCCACACAGGGAGTGATGACCATGGCATCAAGGCAAGGATTTCAATATGTGGAGTGTGGGGAAAAGACCCACCATGAACATTTCAACTGGGCTTTGCAAAAGAGCAACCTGCAGGGGACAATGGCACCCCTGGGATAGGTTGGATTCCCTCTAAGTCCAACTTTGTAATACTACCAGGTATAACTTGAGAGTGACTTGGCTATGTGTGAGAACCAAAGCTTTTACAGGGATGGGCTCCTCGAGAGGTACACCAGGCAAAGCTGCTCTTGGTGGAGTCACCCTTCTATTACTCGCTCAATTCAACACCCTCACCCACCTGCAGGTGACAGTGGCCTTAATATTTCTTTCAGGACCCCCCAATAAAATCCAATTCTCCCACCTTGTATTCCTACTAAGGTGTGGATGGCCCATAGTGCCTTAATATAGCATTATCCAAGGCATTTTTAATTGCAATCATTAAGCTAGAGCTATAATTGAGCTCCAAAGTAAAATTAACACAGTGACTGGAATGATATTGGATCTCTGTAGTAACTTTAAAGAAATCATAGAAGAGAGGAAAATAAGTAACTGATTACAGTTACCGGTTCAATAGTTCTACTAATTAGCAGACTAATATTGGATTTGGAGATGACTTCAAGGGTCTTTATTACATCTGAAACATGAAAGGCAACTGTCCTGAGGAGTCAAGGGGTGGCCCATGAGCCCTGGTTCTGCCGTTTGCTAACTGGGTAATCTCAGGCAGTTCACCAAACTATGAAATGGAGACCATACGGAAGTATGTAGCACAGTGTCTGCAATACAGTAGATGATCAATAAATGTGCTATTGATAGTTCTGAGCCCCAATTAGGCCAGCATTTATACGTCAGAGAAGCTTTGGAGTTACCTGTAACCTTGATATTGAGTGTTGGAATCTGCTACAAAATCAAGAGTCTTTGAGAGCATGGTTTATTGCTTATTTTCTGAACTATTCCCCTTTCTTCTCCTCTGCCTTCCAGTACATTATTGTGCAGTGAATGATCTTAGAAAGCACCCAGAAACCAACCTCGGGCCCAGAAAGCGTGTATGGCTTGTATAACATCAGAGAAGTAACAAAAGCTGGGACCAGGGTCCAAGGCTTGACTCTTTATTCGGTGCTTTATTTCAAGACAACACTGGAGCTGGCAAAAAGATATAAAGTGCATTTTTTTAAAGAGGCATTTCCAATGCTATGTTTGGAACAGGAGAAATGAAAGCGATACGCCATTCCTTAGGGCATGGGGTATAATGTTCATAGATAAGGGTCTTATTTCACCTCAACCTTCCCTATCAGGGAAATTGATCTTTTGCATGATAAAGAGGATAGTCTGAAATAGTTGACAGGTAATTAAGTTTTAAGATAGTTGAGAAGATATAAGGAGAGTACCTAATCCATTTAATTGAATTCAAGCCTCCAGACCCAAAGAAATTCCATTTCAGAATACTGAAAGAACTTGCAGCTGTTGTAACAGGCTCCTGGGAGAGAGAATGATTAGCCACCTTAAAGGAGGGGTTAACTAGCTGCCTGGGGTCAGCAATTATTACAGGACCAAAGGAGATTTCACACCCAAGCCTCCCTGCTCCAGCAGTTTCTACTCTACCAGGTGTCTCTGGCATCTAAACAGGCTAGTTTATTCCTTCATAGAATTAGGGTTTTGAATGATTGCAATAGACTAACATGAAGCAACCAAACCAACAAAATGAAATTTAATCGAGCACATGGTAAATCCTGCATTTAGTATTATCTTTTAATCTGCATGAATACAAAGCTGAGGAAATGTAGAGTAAGAATAATTCATGTTCAAAAGGTTAAGGATCTCGGCTGAGGGGCACCTGGGTGGCAAAGTTGGCTAAACGACCGACTCTTGGGTTCGGTTCAGGTCATGGTCTCGGGGTCGTGGGATTGAGCCCCATGTCGAGCTCCCAACCCTGAGCACAGCACAGAGTCTGCTTAAGATTCTCTCTCTCGGGGCGCCTGGGTGGCTCAGTCATTAAGCGTCTGCCTTCGGCTCAGGTCATGATCCCAGGGTCCTGGGATCGAGCCCCGCATCGGGCTTCCTGCTCAGCGGGAAGCCTGCTTCTCCCTCTCCCACTCCCCCTGCTTGTGTTCCCTCTCTCGCTGTGTCTCTCTCTGTCAAATAAATAAAATCTTAAAAAAAAAAAAAAAGATTCTCTCTCTCCCTCTCCTGCCCTCCCCCACCCCGTGCTTGCTCTCACTCTCTCTCTCTCTCAAAATAAATAAATCTTAAGGAAAAAAAGGGATCTTGGTTGACTCCAAGCACATCACATATCTTTGTTTGATACAGATGCCAAACTGGCTAATGAACTCTTAGGAAGCATTAATTGCTCCAAATAAAGGAGAAGAGAGCTACTGTACTTTGGCAGTCAGATCTCATCTATAGTATTCTGTTCAGCTCTGTAGGTGTCCAGGGAAGGGTAAATAAGATAATACAATTCTAGAAGCCATGTCATGTGACAGCTTAAAGGATTGGAGAATGTTCATTTGGAGAAAGGAAGGCTGTTCAGTTTTAGTGACTAAAATATAACAGAAGCCATTATTTTACTGTGTGGCTTTGTAAGACAGGACTAAGATTAACTACTAGATAAAGGCAAACTTTTATCTCATGTAAGGGAATGGAAACTCATGGTGCTTGAATACCCATCATGGACCTTTTGTTGTGCTAGGTGCTTTGTATTATTTTGTTAAAATCTCTCAGAAACTGATGGATTTTGGGGGGGGTGGGGAGTAAGCTCCCTGTTGCTGGAAGTCGGATGTCCAGCTCAGCACTGCTCATGTAAAGCAGTAGTGACCCCTCTTCTGCTTCCCAGACTTGGGAATGCCATCCAGGCCCCTCTGGAGCCAGTGTCCTGCTTGGAGGCAGGCTCTCTGGATGACAGAAAAGACCATCTGTGCTTCTGCAACGTGGATTTCCAACACAGCTTCAAGGTTCACTGGATCACTAACTGCAAGCATGGGGCTATGGTGTCCTTATTTTCCTCAGCTCATATTTCTTAGCCAGTCTTGAATGTTGGGATGCTCCCACGTCTACCTAGGATGTGTCTATGGGAAGGGCTGGGCGCTAGAGGAGAACCTGGGATTGTGTGACTGGAGATGGCACAGGAAGTAATACTCTGGGTATACATTTCTTGGCCGGTTGCAGCCATTTTCTTCACATATACCTATAGTCTTAGAATCAGTCCCTCCAACGCTGAAACCCTCCAGCCTAAGGAATGCTTCTGGCCAGTGAACAGTATCAGCCAAGGTCCTGGCAGGAACCAGAATTCAACTTGGAGGATTCCAATGAAGAATTTAATGAAGGCACCGTTAAAAAAGGTATGAGCGTGGAATCCCAGAGGAACTTCAGATGCACTAGGTACACTCCAACCTCAAGGCTGTGTACTTGCTGGGTCCCTCTCAGCTACACCACCACCTCCCCATTCCCCAAAGCCCCCGCCATCCGCATGGCTTCCTCATCTCATTCAGTCCTTGGCTATCATGCTACCTTCTCAAGTGAGCATTGTAGCTGCTGCTCCTCATCATTCCCTTCCTCCTCCCCCACCTAACTTTTTATAGCACCTAATATCGTCTGACATTTCTATATTTTAATTATTGATTATTTGCCTCTACTCACGAGAATCTGGGCAGAGATTTTTGTGTGTTTTGTTCATTGCCATAATCCCAGGGCCTAGAACACTACCTGGTCCAAGGAAGAATTTCAATAAGCATTTGTTGAATTGATGAATACTAATTGTATTTGTTAAAGCTCATAAAGAGAACTGTCCAAAAGTGACAACTGATCCATCTTTTTGCTTCAACTGGGCTAATCCCATTCCTGCCCTTTTTGGGGAAGCCCCCTGAAACGCAAGAGCTTTTATATGGCCACAAGAGGGCGCTGTTGATCAGTTTTTCATTTTTAAGAAGTCCTGAGACCCTTCACCCTCTCCTCCCCAGACCCCAAAAGAAAAGATGGGGCAGGGTCATGTCTACAGCCAAAGCAAACACAGTGTATCTCTACCATTCCAGCATTGCTCTGCAAGTGAAATGCAGTTAAAACCTGTGTCAAGAATGGTCTCGAAGGGACCAAAGGTCATCAGAAAGCGAGAGCCTGAGGAATGTGTAGGAGGAAGGAGATGCCAAATGTGCAAGGAGCATTCAGAAGAAGGCAAGTGAAGCTGTCTCAGGTCCAGAGGGATCAGAGGAGACATTATGGGAGAGATGGCATTTGAATTAGGATTTGAATGATAGGAATGATAGGTAGGTGCAAAATCGTGTTTTGCTGATTTTACACACTACATTTTATATGTCACTTGAATTTTAGGGTAATTTTCTTCTCAGTTGAGAATGAGTAACCATCTGTGTACATGGGAAAAAAAAGGTTAGCTTTTTAGGACATCCACTCCTATAATACATAGTGAAATATAAAAATAAAAAAGCTTTAGGAAGGACAATGGGTTGTTAAAATATTGGCTGAAAGCACGCCATATATCTGCCTCATGATTCCTCAGTTGAATAGCCTTTGTACCCACCCCAGAGGACGTGGAGAATGTTACAAATGAAGACATGATTTTTTTTCTACTGTTTCTTCAGTATGGAGCAGGGAATGGAAGTTCTGGGGGAGGTTTTCTTACCTCTGAGTGCAGCTTTTCTCAAAACAGGTGGAAACTGTGAATGTTTAATGAGGCCCCAGGACTCACAGACTGAATTCACAGACCAACACAATGAACACTGGTCAAACATATTCTTTATTTAAAACAGAGCCACTGCAAAGAGAAAGCAAGGGAATAGAATGAAATGAAGAGGTCAGATGTCCAAGCCAAGGCTCCCACTTGTTTCTTGGCCCACCACCGATTCAGGGCTACAGTCACATCCCCCTTCTCCACTGGGTGCCATGTGGAGCCCCCCACGTTGCTTCAGATTAATGCGGTAGAACTTCTTCCACCTCTAGAGTGAGGAAGGGAAATAAGACCTCCCTCAGCCTCTTCAAGGTGTCCCTGCTCATTACCATGGGTAGGGCATCCACAAGAAGGTCTGGGTTTATGTACTGCAGGTGGAAAAGCGCATAACCCAGCAGCCTAATGAAGATCATGACCATGAAGACAAGGCACCTGAAATGCCTGCAAAGAGACATTCTTGGTTAGCATGGGGGACAGGGACAGCCCAGCATTCAGCTGTAGGAGGTGAAGCTCACACTCATAAATAACTGAATTGCTTTCTTCAGGCAAAACTGATGGAGAAGGGAGACCCAAAGGATGAGGGTAGGGGATAGGCGATTGCAGAAAAAGATCGTTGTAGTAGTTAGCCATTGCATAAGGCTCTCCTGACATGTAAGCCGTCTGACAGCATAGATGTCCATATAGAAAAAAATTAGAGATGCAAAAGGAGATTTTCCAGGTACTACATATGCAGCAGGCCTTTTGCGGGTTGCCAGAAAATGTTCAGGACTGTCACACCTATGAGTCTCATGACCAGTGGTCCTCTTCTGGTCTACTATAGCAAGAAGTTCTAGAATTTGAAATAAGATTGGGACATCTCTGACGTGATGTCCAGGCAAAATCATTAGGATAGATTTTTTTTTCTAAACATCAAGTGTCAAAAGAGACCAAGTTAAACAATAAAATGTGTGTGTGTGTGTGTGTTTTCTTGTGTGCTCCCAAGAAAATTTCACACTGAAATCTTGTCTAAGGCCTTCAGTCTTTAATTATATTGAAATGGCATAAATTGAAGCTCTTCACTAAAGTGCCACATGGAGCATTTCAGAGTTAGTCCCCTTGTTTCAAAAATTAAGACAGAAAAGGCATAGAGAGTTTAGGTGATTTTTGTTTTCTAGAATGTTCAGCCTACGGTAAAAGAACTGAGAAAATTAATGAGCCCTGAACCATCTTCTCAGCAAAGAGTATAGCGGAGATTATCAGGTTCAGGATCTGAAAAATAGAAAGGGGTCATACCAAGAACCATAAGAATGGAAATGCAAAGTAAAATGCAACCTAGAGCCTTCATCTTGAAGAAATAGCTACTTTTTCTGCATATCTCTGGTGTTGTGGAAAGGAAGGAAAGAAGAGTTGGGAGGAATCTGGGGCTGCCTGATATTTTCTGGCTGGTGGGTGTATTCATCCTTATTCCTTATACCCTTACCAACTCACTCGCTCCTAGAGAGTGAATGTGGCCTAGACTGGGTAAAAACCGACATTCTACCACTTACCTGTACCAAAAGATTCTCTTCCGTTTCTTAATGATGGTCTTCTCCTATGGGAAGCAAGAAAAGCCACAGCTGTGCCTGTCTGTGTAGTCACAGACAGGCAGTGTAGTAGGGTACCAAGAGCCACCCAGGAGTCAAGAGTCAGGCTGCCTGGATTTGAATCCTGACTTTGCCACTTCCTAGCTGCCATAGTATGGAATGAGGTACCAAACTTCATTATGTCCTAACTCTAGGTTTATTACAAAGGGGAGAGGATGCGGGGAGCAAGGAGAGAGAAGCCAGGGGAGGGAGGGATAAAGGAACACTCCAGCGTGGGACAAGGAAGACTTACCATGTTGCTTTGGATGGTCTCTACCAGAATTGACCCAGGTTTCACAATTTGGGAAGAGTTGTTCTGGGCTTTGAATCTGGGTGAAAAAAATCGGATCCGAGAATGATATAACATAATCTGGGGGGCTGATGAAAGGTGCTTTTCTAAGTCATGCAACATCCATGATTTATTTCCCAGATTCTTGATAGCATTCACAGGGTTCAACATTCAAAACTCATAACTGCTCAACATACAGAGATACCAGGAAACTCTGGTCCGTTCTCAAGGGAAAAGACAATCAGTGAAGAATAACCCTGATGTAACCCTGATGTTGGGTTGAAACTGCAGAAAGTCTCACGCATACATGGTCACCTCACTTATAAAACAAGGCACCACTGAAAATGCATGTTCTCTTAAATAAATGGTGCTGGGTCAATAGGCTCTCCACACAGAGAACCATGATCTTGATCTCTACCCCACACCATAGAAGAAAACAAATTCCAGATGAATGCGAATCTAAGTACACAGTAAAATAATAAAACAAAATGGTAGGGGAAAGCATAAGAGAATAGTTTTATGACCTAAAGAAAGGACTAAGCCAAAAAACAAAAGTCAAAAACCCCAGAAAAAAACAAAAAATGGTCTGAGAAGCCCTTTGCCCTTCCCAGACATCCCAGGGACTGTCACTGCAGTCTATCAGGGACATAATTTTTCCAAACTTACACTTCTTTTTCAAGAAGCATCACCTCTTTTTCCTTTTCCATCTGCCTCAGAATTTCCTGGTATTTCTTCCCATGGAAACAAAAAAAAAATTGTTATAATGAAGAATTTCCCCATATTTCATTACGATGTCATTGATGATTCTCCTGAGACTAACTCCTAATACTCCAAGTGGTGCATGCATGAGTGTGCACACATGAGTAGGGAAATATTCTAATAAAAATTGGGAGATACCGGGACTAGATGGATATATCTGAAAAGAGAAAAAAGAGTTCTCGCTTTGGCTTCTGCTTGTATTCAAGTCCCAGTTCTGATGCTTACTCTTGTGTTCCCAGAGCTCATTACCTAACTCCCCTAAACCCCAGTGTCCTCTTGATTATAACAATATCATCCCCATAGTTTTACTGGACAAATTAATGTAGAAAAATACTGTATGTTGAGAGCTTACAAATACCGTACGTGCCATTGCCTGGCACAAAGTAAATCCTTAACATACATCTGTTTTGTTGTTGTTGCTATTGTATAAAAGACATTTTCCCCGGTGGCAGATTTTAGCCCAATGAGAAACCAAGGAACCCATAGCTTTGGAGAAATTCTGCCTCTTCTCTGACTTGCCCCTGCCGGCAACATACCTTTATGTAGTGGGCCTGGTCCTCACAGAGCTGATGCAAAGATTGGTAGTCGCTCTCTATCTAGAAAGAAGAGAAAATTAACAAATCTCATCAGAACCAAGCCTCAGCTGCTCCTGGGGACCCCAACTGGTGCATTGGACATGTGGCTGGTTACCAAACAACTTTTAATTTTAAGGGAAAACAAGCATATCACAAAGCAGTGATCTCATCATTCAGGGGCACAGTATAATTTTGAGCCAAACAAAAATTTTTTGCCAGGTTGTCATATGCCTGTCAGGTGAAACATCAGGAGAGGTATCAGGGCACTTGGGTTTGGGATTCAGCAATAGTATTTTGAAGGGGGGGGTGTAAAAGGGTGTTTAAGAAATGGTAAAACCAGTACTTCTAATACAAGTTTTCTTGCCTTTCACCTGCATGTGAGTCAGAAATTCCTCTGCCAGTTGTTCCTGCTACTCCCCCCTCCCATGCCTCCAGCTGTCCTGTTTCTAAGACTCTGGGGTGTTCTCCCATTTATATCCTGGCCAGACCCTCAGTGAGGAGACAGTGCCTCTACCTTGAGCAGTTCCTTCTCTTGCTTTGTGCAGGACTCTGTTGACTTTTGTAGTCTGACCTGGAAGACAGCAGAAAGTTCTTAGCATTCTTTTGTGGAAGGCAAATGGATAATGAGCACCCTCTCTCCAGACCAGCAAGGAACATGATAAAAATGGCTATCATATCTTGAGGGATTGAGGACACATTTTCACAATCTGGGATGGGCACTGTCATTAGCCCTATCTGATAGATGGGGAGACAAAGGCAAGAAGTTAAGTGCTTAGCTTCTTTAAAAGTCACATGGTGGCAGAGCTGACATTTAAGCCTTGGTCATCTGACTGCCCAGTCACTGAGCCTTACCATCCTCCTTCCTCTAGCCTGACTGACCAAAACTCACAGGCCTCTTTCTCCTCTCATCTTCCAGAGGGTACACTCACATAAATCTGCAGAAAGTTTCCCAACAGGATTTCTGTCCTCTCTGGGGCATCCAGTTCATTCATTCACTCAACAAATATTGAGCATCTACTTTGTGCCAGGCACTGTTCTAGGCACTGGAGAAATAGGAGTGAACAATATAGACCAAAACTCTCGCCCTTATTGGATTTACCTTCTCATAGAAGAAAAAGATAAACTACGTTTTATTTTATTTTTTTTATTTTTTTAAGATTTTTATTTATTGAGAGAGAGAGAGAGAATGGTAGAGAGAGCATGAGAAGGAGGAAGGTCAGAGGGAGAAGCGCAGGACTCGATCCCAGGACTCCAGGATCATGACCTGAGTGGAAGGCAGTCACTTAACCAACTGAGCCACCCAGGCGCCCTAGATAAACTACATTTTAAAAAACTAAACTTTTTTGGACTATAAGCCATGGGTTGGAAAATGAGATAAGATTATTGACACATTGCTATATAATTATGGAAGTTCATATTCTCGTCTTACCTGAATATCCATATTTTTTTTAAAGATTTTATTTATTTGAGAGAGAGAGTGAGAGAAAGAGAGAGAGCACAAGAGTGGGGAGCCGAGAGGGAGAAGCAGACTCCCTGCTGAGCAGGGAGCCTGAAGCGGGACTCAGTCCCGGGACTCCAGGATCATGACCTGAGCCGAAGGCAGTCGCTTAACCAACTGAGCGCCCCAGGCACCCCTGAATATCCATATTGTGTGTCATTCAGACCCTAAGCTTCTTGGTTGGTTCCTGATGTGCCTTCAGCATGTATGTTCTAGTGACTGGTGGGTGATGAGGTCTCGAGCAATCCCCTCTACTTTGATGACATTGAAGTGACCTCTGCAGTTACTTGACTAATCATGTTATGAATGCCCCACAGGCCATGAGGTAAAGGAGAGGGAACAAAGACATTGGCTCACCTCTGAGAAGTACACAGACATACCTAGCCTGGGAGAGTCCTTGAAAGTTGTTCCTCCTGAACCTAGACTTGACACACATCTCCCAGAAAGTCTCTAGGTTTGCTCTTCTACTCACCTTCAGTTCTGCCAACATCTGCTTTAGGGTTTCTTTATTAAGGCCATCATTCTTATGTCTCCTTGAAATCTGAAATACCATCCCCAAAACCATGAACTGAGTGAGGCACACAGACATCAAAAACTGGGATAGTGGCCAACTTTGGGGTCTCGGGGCTATGGAATGGTGGTGGTTAATGAACTTAGATCCCAGGTAGAAGCTTCTGATAGAAGAGTGTCTCCTTCTTGCTCATGGGAACTGCCTGACACCAGGCTGGCTGGAAAGACCTTTTTGCTCCCATAGGCCGTGAAAACAACTGCCCAGGGAGCAAGGAGGAAGGGGTGGGGGGGGCGCAGAACAGTTGCGGGGAGGGAGGGAAAAATCTTTTCTCCTATACTCAGTCCCTTAGCTCTCTCAGCAGATCTGTAATCCAAGGGAACAAATGGGGTGTTCATCAGAGTTTGTCCTAAGTGGGTGGCAGAGGGGAGGAAGCACACCCATTTAGCCGGTTGCTCCTTCTTGGGTCTTTCTGACTAGAGAGTTCAGGAGTTCAGACAATTCTGTCAAGATTCCTAAAAAATCAGCCTCCTTCAAGGGGGGACTACCTTACCTTCTTCTGAAGCTCCACCACATTCCTGCTCAGAATCTTGTTACTTTTCTCCTGTGGAAAGGAAGGAGTAAAGGGGATACACCTGCTCTGTTTCTGTACTTTCCCTCCTGGGTCTCTAAAATATGGTCTGGGGATGAGTGTATTGAGGGGGAAAAGGACACTGTGGCCCCACACAGAGGAAATGGGAAGACAGCCAAGGCCTGGGGCCCCCATGCCAGGTGCTTCATTCTCAGAGCACTCTCGTCTGATTTCTCCAGATGTAGCAAGGACCATGGATGATGATCCCCTGGCAAAGAGAGAGCAGCAGCAGACTGCAAGCCAAATATGTCACAAGGTCCTTTCCTAGACACCTTCTTACCAGCTTTGCTGTCTCTGATTCCAGGTTCCTCAAGGTTTCCTCCTTCTCTGATGCAATATGGTTCAACTCCTCCCTCTCGTTGGCTCGTCCTAGTGACAAGGCAATCTCTCCTTCCAGACTGAAAAATACAGACACCCAGATGTGGATCACTCATGAGGACACTGCCAGTGCCCCAGCTTAGGAAGCCAAGGTCTTGGGGCGGTGGGGGGTGGGTGCTATACTGATTGCCAAATGCAGTGGCAATACAACGTCAGCCTCATGTGGAAATTTAATGCAAGAATCTCTACATAAAGCCTCTGGGGCATCACAGTTCATGCTTCAGAATTTAACACACCAAGATTTATCAATAAAAAAGGAAACCTTCCTCCCAGCTTCTCTTTATTCCAAGGGCCGTTCTGTTGAGGAGAAGCCCTTCCCTCACCAACTGCAAAGCCTGACCTTTGAATAGCTTCTTCCTTCTCTTGAATTTTCCTGAGAAGAACTTGATTTGCCTCATCCAGTCTCTGCAGGTCTTTTTCAAGGTCTGAGTTCAGATAGTCAAGGTTTTGTTTTGTGACTTCTAATTTCGGTATTTCCATCATCTCCTGCCTACAGGAAAATCAGCTTTCTTATTGAGCTCAGGACAGGAAAACAGAGGAGCCCTAAGAAGGTTTCCCTGGGATCATGACCTGAGTTGAAGGCAATCGCCTAACTGACTGAGCCACACAGGTGCCCCTCAAATCACATTTTAATTTTAAATATTGTAAATGGAACCCATTAAAACACAAACCTTTTATAAAGCAGAAGAAATTTTTTTTTCATATGAACAATTATGCTCCAACTTACTTATTTTTTAAAAATTTTTATGGAGTATGTGGAATCCAAGCTACACCTATAAAACATGTAAAGATCTGCCAGGATGAGGGGATTTCTTCAGTACCTTTTTGTTACAGTCTCCTGAGGAGTTTATGCTGCGTATTTTCTACCCCAGTCAAGTAGGCCCACAGGCTGGGTCGGGGGCAGGGGTGGGAGTGGATCTTTTCTCCAAATCTGACTGACTTGCTTTTTGAGGCCTTAGCTATTTCTATACCATTATTAGCATGAGGAAGTCCAAAGATCTGAAACTAAAGTCTTTTCTCTCCTGAAAGGCCCCCGGGCCTGAGGAGATAATGTCCCGCATCATGGAGCTTCTCTTCCTTACTGGATTGGGGCAGATCCTTCCCATAGCAGCTCCTCTACTGAACTTTATCATCTTTATTACTTACACACCGTCCAGTGGGTCCTGTCCAGCTACTTCCATGGTGGGTTTCCTAAAATGTTAACACACACATTTATTATGGAAACATAGCCCCTAATGTCCAGCATAGTAACAGTTGCCTCACACTAGCGCAGGAGGGAGCAGGCAAAAATTTGACCAGGCAAGACAGAGCTGAGAAGAGACCCATGCCTCCTAGACCCTCCTGTTTACCAGCATCAGCTGCAATGTTTTACTAAATTCCGGTAATCCAGCTTGTGTTTTAACTTCAAATTGCATAAGTGAATCCCACTGGAGTACAGAAATCTTATTTTCACAGTTTTTCACATTTTCGCTACCTTTCCCTTTCCTGGCCTGCGTTTGTCTGGTCACAGGTAAAGCACTAAGGGCACTCAAGCTTATGTCTTTTGGCAAATGCACTGAGAGTTTATTTCTAACCGAGATCTCCAGGGAAACTTAGGGGGAAAAATAATAGAGAATAGCCAGAGGGTGCCATAAAGCTGGCTGCCTGATTTCTAGGTCTATTGCCGTATGAGTTCTAACAAGTTCTAGATATCACAGGCTGAGTCGATTCTGAAATAGCAGCAAAAGCCGTGGGGTGGACAGCAGGATACACCTACCAACAGGCAGAAACAAATGTTGGGCTCCTAGGGACGGTGTCTCCTAACGGCTGCCCCAAGACTAAAGTTCAGGACTGAAACCAATCTAAGAAAAGTAGAGTTCCACACTCCCCTCTCCTTTCATGTGCCAGCTTCTCTTCTTTTCTCTTTCCTCTGAAGCTTTTCACCTTTAATTCTCTTTTTAATTCCTTCTCGCACCTCCTTCCCCTTTCATCGTTCCCCTGCATTTTTCCTGCTTTCTTTACACACAAGGCATCCCAGCCTTTGATGATGCCCTTCACACTCACCCTTCTCTTCCCCACTGAGATTTCTTTAGTTCCCACTGGGATTTCCAACCGATTGTCAGAACTTTCAGAAAAGGTATCTCCTTACTGATTGAGGCCTCCACATATCACCAGACCTGTCCTCTCCAGCAGGGTGGGGCAGCATGTCATAGTGGGTAGGGGTGGGGGGCAGCAACAACTCCACATCACCCCTGTAGGCAGCATGGGAGCAGAGTTCAGAGCTGCAGGGCAGTTGAAGTCTCTTCCTACACAGCGGTAAGATCTATGGAACACATTTCTGGACACAGGGTCAGTCCCTTCTGAGATGGCAGTTAGCTCTATGGAACACGTTTCTTCATGTCCCCAAGCCCCTAGGCCCAGTGGCAGTTGAGATCACTCTCTCTTCCTTCTTCAACTCCTTGTGATACGTGTGCAGCCTGCTGCACCCAAATCCAAATTACGCTTTTCTCTTGAAGGCATCCGAGAGCTATGGGCCATGGGGTAGGAAGGTCTGAGAGCAGGCCCGGAGGAATCAGAGATATCTTCTCTATGGGCCAAGCAAGCCCTCCTTCTCACCAAGTTGGATTCTTGGAGCTACAAAAGAAACTCCTTGGGGCGCCTGGGTGGCTCAGATGGTTAAGCGTCTGCCTTCGGCTCAGGTCATGATCCCAGGGTCCTGGGATCGAGTCCCGCATCGGGCTCCCTGCTCCTTGGGAGCCTGCTTCTCCCTCTGCCTCTCTCTCTCTGTCTCTGTCTCTCATGAATAAATAAATAAAATCTTTAAAAAAAAAAAAAAAAGAAACTCCTTTATTTTCCCTGAACTGGCACTGCCAACACATGGGGAAAGAAAGGTCTGATGTTTCAAAGATGGAGTGTATGGAGGTGGAACAGGAAGGAGGAAAGAGGAGCGTTAGGTCCCGAAACCTGATTCCACTGCCTCCTCCCTCAAAATTCCTCCTCATTTTCTGAGGTGTTAAGTTACTGGAGCACTAGATGGGATTTCACACGCCAGTGTCACTCTGCTAGGCAGTTCTGGATTCTCTGATTGAGAAGATGAGGCAGTATGCAGAACTGGAGAGAGATCAGTGAAGGTGTGTACTTGGATTTCAGATCTGTCCTTTGCTGTCCCTTACACTCCAGTCACTCCTCCATGATGTCAGTGTAACCTTTCCCAGCAGAACTGTGCTAATCTCAAGTCCCTGGAAAGGCCTTCCAGAACATACCACTGCCTCTCCAAGAAAATCTCTCTCCCACACAATAATATCTGTCATTTAATTGTATCCATCCTTCTCGGCTCAATTCAAATGCTGCTACTTCCACACCTTCCCAGATACCTTGCCTCCAAGCCCAGCAGAATGAATCCCTCCAACCTCTGTTCTCCTCTTTTGGTATCTTATATTGTTTTTAGGAATGTGTACACACTGGTCTTTATTCCACAGTTAGGCTAAAAACCCCTTGAGGGAGCACCTGGGTGGCTCAAATGGTTGAGCGTCTGCCTTCTGCTCAGGTCGTGGTCCCGGGGTCCTGGGATCGAGTTCCGTGTCGGGCTCCTGACTCAGCGGGAAGCCTGCTTCTCCCTCTCCCTCTGCCTCTCCCCCTGCTCATGTACTCTCTCTCTCTCTGTCTCAAATGAATAAATAAAAAATCTTAAAAAAAAAAAAAACCCTTGAGAGAGTGTGGTTTAATTGAAGCCATTTTGATTTCCCTCCCCAGTTGAGCTCCAGGAGAGCCGTGTACATAGAATCCATTGCGAATAGTAGCCCCTGGAGTTGTTGAAGAAGGGGGTGGCTTCGAAAATGGAGAGTGGAAATAGGCTGGGTAGGGACAGAGAGCACCTGAGTGTCATTCCATCCTGGCATTTCAGAGGTGTGTTACCTTGGGCAAGTTACTTGAGCTCTCTGAGCTCAAGTCTTCTGACCTGTGAGATGGGCATTATTCCTACTTCACAAAGTTGTGGTGGAGATGAAATGAAATAATATATGTGAAGCTCTTAACACTGTGTGTGGCACACAGAAGCACTTAATTCCCCTCCATTCTCCAACACAACACATGCTCCATTTTTCTATTACCTTCGCACATGGTGTTATGCTGAATGTTTTTAGAAGAAGTGAATGAATAAATGACTCCTTCCACTCCCTTTATCTAGAACAGGTGTTCTCCTCCCTTTCCTTCTTACACCTGAGAGGCTCTCACCTGTACACCCCGATTAGTACACTGTCATTAGCAGCACAGCGCACAATAGCAGAATTCTTGACAGACGACCCTGACCCCTGTGAGGCTGATCCATGGTCATCAGGGATGCAGTCTGAAAGCTTCTGCCCAATGTCCCAGAGCAGTAGGTACCTGTGCTTGAGAATCACTGATGAAGAACAAATTCTCTACACCAAACTGCCTCGCTCTTTTCTGTAAAGACACTGCACAAAATCACCCTTTCTATGAACTCTTCCAAAGTGAACCCTTCTTAGCTTATTGCCCCAAGTAGACAACGTGACTTTGGAAATGACGATGTTTTCCTTTTTGTTTTGACACTAAGAAGCAAAAACACCACATTTGAAGCCCCCAATTTTTGTGACTGTACTGGACATTGTGGCCTGTGTATCTTTCCCTTAGTCCTATTCTCCTATTCATTTTTCATGTGATTCTGATTTTTAACTTATTTTCCACTATTTTGTATTAAATAGATTGTTCCATATGATACAGCTATAGGTAAGTAAACATGGACATAGTTAGAGTTATAAATAACAGCAAAGAGATAAAGATCTGAGAGGGGTAGTGTGTTTGGGTGTCATGGGTAACAACATTGGCTATGGAATCAGACCACACTGACTTTGAATACCTGCTCTACCAGTTCCCAGATATGAGGTCTTGGACAAGTTATTCAACCCCTTGGACTTCAGGTTTCTAATTAGTAAAGTGTATTTGGATCGTTCTATGGCATATAAGATACTTTGAAAGTGTGGGTCCCATAGATATAAACTTTTTTTTCTCCCCCACCCCTAAATACAAACTTTTAAGACTAGGGACCATGTGTTCTTGTTCCTTGGTTTATCTCCATACAGTGTGTAACCTGTGCATGTGAAGCACTCACTGTGAATACATACCGAAATTCTTTCTTCATCTAGTTCTATTCATATCATCCTAGCAAATAGAAAGAATGGGATCAGGGCGCCTGGGTGGCTCAGTCGGTTGAGCATCTGCCTTCAGCTCAGGTCATGATCCTGGGGTCCTGGGATTGAGCCCTACATCAGGCTCTCTGCTCAGCCGGGAGTCTGCTTCTCCCTCTCCCTCTGCTGCTCCCCCTGCTTGTGCTCCCCCCCCATTCTCTCTCTCTGTCAAATAAAAAGAAAAAGAATGATATCATGTGTATCAAGATGACAAAGACTTTTTGACACCTCTGTTTTTAAAAATTGGTCTAAAAACAATAACTAGTTGGATTTCCTATGGCCCTCCCAACACCTAGCACTTCTGATGACTCACTGGGGAGCTCTAAGCTTCAGCAGCTTAGGAAAACAAAGATTTGATGGCTCCTACTTACTGTTTTGAGTTCTGGTTTTTATTCTCAACAGCTTAGTTTTATTGAGAATAGCTCCTGTTTTGTTCCAGTACCTGAGGCTATAGATGAGGCCTATGCTAATTTGCATGGCTGCAGAATTCAGTTTTAACCTTTTTGCTAGAAATCCCACAAGTCACAGGGTTTGTGTCATTATGCTATTTTAGTTCTCTACAAATATCACATCATGGCAAGACAAATTGTTGCAGTGTCAGGAGTTAACTCTGTTTTCTGATGAAGGAGAATTACTTTTCAGTCAGTGGATTGTATACCTGGAAGAAGATACAAAATTTGATTTAATATGTGTTTTGAAGACCTTATATTCCTTGCTTTCCATACAAATATTTTAAAATTTTAATCTTTTGAGATTTAGAAGAGATGCACTTATTTTGCATTTTGTATAACTTTTCATAACATGAAGACTAAGTTGTCAATCAAAACTAATAGAATAAAATAAAAATTTCCTATGTCATAAGAGGGAGTTGTTTAGAAGGTAACAGTGGAACTGTACAGTTGGTCATCAAAGTTTATAATACCAGGATGGAAATATAATGAATGGCATCATCACCAAAAAAAGAAAAAATATCCTGTCCAACCCATCATGATAAAAAA